AGCTCAGGAAAAAACTCATTCAGTTTCTTATAGCTAACATATATTATTTCGCTTGGTCCCACCTTGATATGATAGGGATCCCGCCGGAAATAACCACTTACAAGCTAAGCCTGGACCCGAAGTTCCATCCGGTCAAGCAGAAGAGGAGACTTCAGTCTGAGGTCAAACATGCTTTTATCAAGGACGAGGTATCTAAAATCCTTAAAATAGGGTCCATTCGGGAGGTTAAATACCCGGGTTGGTTAGTGAACGTAGTGGTAGTCCCTAAAAAGGGAGTAAATTAAGAATGTGTGTAGACTATAAGGATTTGAATAAGGTATGTCCCAAGGACTCCTTCCCTTTGCCCAACATCGATTGCATGATCGATGCCACGACCGGCCACGAGATCCTCAGTTTTCTCGATCCCTACTCTGGGTACAACCAAATACGGATGAACCCGGGTGATCAGGAAAAAATCTCATTCATCACTAAATACGGTACATACTGCTATAACGTGATGCCATTCGGATTACAAAATGCTGGTGCCACCTACCAATGCCTAGTAAACCAGATGTTTGAGGAACAAATAGGAAAATCAATGGAGGTTTACATTGACAATATTTTCGTTAAGTCCCTGCGAGCAGATGACCATTTAAAACATTTGCAGGAATATAGTATGAAGCTGAACCTGGAGAAATGTGCGTTTGGAGTTGGGTCAGGTAAATTCCTCGGATTCATGGTATCCAACCGGGGAATCGAGAACAACCCCAACAAGATCAAAGCCATCAAAGATATCACGGTTGTGGACAACATGAAGGACGTGCAAAGATTAACCGGGCGCATAGCCGCCCTGGGGTGATTCATCTCGAGGTCCTTCGATAAGATCCATCGATTCTTCTCACTATGGAAGAAGAAGAAGAATAACTTCTCATGGACCCCGGAGTGCTAACGGGCCTTGGAGGAACTCAAGCGGTATCTATCAAGCCCACCACTGCTTGATACACCGAAGACAGACGAACAACTATACCTGTACTTGGCACTATCAGAGATAGCGGTAAGTGGAGTCCTGGTCCGGGAAGAGCAAGGGATGAAATTTCCAATTTACTGTGTTAGCAAGACTGTAGGTGAGGCTGAAACTAGGTACCCTTACTTAGAAAAATTGGCGCTCGCTTTGCCTAAGCGCCTCTAGGAAGCTGAAACCATATTTTCAATGTCATCATATATGTGTTGTGACTACTTACCCATTGCGAAATATAATGCATAAAATCGAGCTCTCAGGACGATTGGCCAAATGGGCCATGGAGATCAGTGGTTATGATATTGAATATTGACCCTGGACCGCCATTAAATCTCAAATATTGACCGACTTTGTGGCCAACTTTATGCCTTCCCTAATACCCGAGGTCGAAAGAAAGTTGTTGGTGAACTCGGGGACGTCTTTGTAGATCTGGAGCCTCTTTACGGACAGTGCCTCGAAAGCAAAAGGGTCCGGACTTGGCATAGTATTGAAGCCACCAACATGCAATGTAGTTAGACAATCTATTAAGACTGTGAAATTGACTAACAATGAGGCCGAATATGAGGCCATGATTGCAGGTCTCGAACTAGCCAAAAGCTTGGGGGCAGAGGTGATCGAAGCCAAGTGCGACTCCCTCATTGCGGTGAACCAAGTTAATGGGATGTTCGAGGTCAGAGAAGAAAGAATGCAAAGGTACCTGGAAAAGTTGCCGGTAATGTTACATCGGTTCAAAGAATGAACTTTGCAACATGTACCTCGGAATCAAAACAGTGAGGCCGATGCCCTTGCTAACTTAGGATCATCGGTCGAGGACGACGAGCTTAACTCGGGGGCAGTCGTATAACTTATGAGATCGGTAGTGGAAGAAGGCCATGCCGAGATTAACTCAATAAGCCTAACTTAAAACTGGAGAAACAAATATATGGAATATCTGAAAATTAGAAAACTGTCCTTAGATCCGAAAGAATCGAGGGCCCACGTACGAAGGCGGTTTAATTTGTTCGAAGACAACCCTGTTCAGAAGAACATTCGATGGCCCGCTCGCGATATATCTAGGACCAGGAGACACCGAGTATGTTATGAGGGAAATCCATGAAGGCACTTGTGGAAATCATTCAGGCGCCGAATCATTGGTTCAAAAGTAACCAAAGCCGGCTACTACTGGATCAATATAGAAAAATACGCGAAGGAGTTCGTACAAAAATGTGATGAATGTCAAATACATGCTCCGATGATTCAACAACTCGGGGAGCTGCTACATTCGGTTCTGTCATCATGGCCATTCATGATGTGGGGAATGGACATCGTTGGCTCCCTTCCATGGGCACCCGATAAGGCTCAATTTATATTGTTTATAACTAAATATTTTTCTAAGTGGGCGGAAACCCAGGCATATGATAAGGTCAGGGAGAAGGAGGTCATCGACTTCATTTGGGACCACATCATATGCCGGTTTGGAATGCCGGCCGAGATCGTGTGCGACAACGGGAAACAATTCATCGGCAACAAAGTAAGCAAGTTTCTCGAAGACCACTTGATCAAAAGGATCCTATCAACGCCCTATCACCCTAGTGGGAATAGACAAGCAGAATCGACTAACAAAATCATACTCCAAAACCTCAAAAAGAGGTTAACTAACGCCAAAGGAAAATGGAAGAAAATCCTGCCCGAAGTCTTATGGGCATACCGTACGACCTCGAAGTTCAGTACCGGGGCCACCCCATTCTCATTGATTTACGGTGTCGAAGCTCTAATACCGGTCGAAGTTGGAGAATCAAGTCTCGGGTTCCGATATGCAACTAAGGAATCAAACAACGAGGCCATGAATACAATCCTGGATCTATTAGATGAAAGGCGCGAAGCCGCCCTTGTCCGGATTAGGGGTGGGCATAATACCTGCCGAACCATAAATTTCGGTTTTTCGGTTTTGGTTTAATCGATTTTTCGGTCGGTGCACGGTTTTTAAATTATTAATTTTCGGTTTTTCGGTGTGGTTTACGGTTTTGGTGTTTCGGTTTTCGGTTTAATCGAAAAACCAAAATTTTGGGTATTAGTTATTACCTATTTTAGGCTAAAGCCCAATACCTATTTGAACTTTGAAGCCCAATTTAGTTTACCCAAACCCAAACTTACTGACAGTCTGTCTGATACCCAAATCCATCGGTTACACTAAATCACTAATACACTTAGTCACTTCCCATTTCTCAATTCCCATTTCCCAAACCTAAATAAAAAAATTAGATTTAGGGTTCTTCTTGTGCGACTGATGCGACTCGCCGTCGCCGACTGCTGCGACTTCTTCTGAGTTCCTATGAGTTCTGTGCCTTCTTCCTTAGCTCGACTGTGATGCCTTCTTCCTCAGCTCGTCGGTCATCCTTCATCCTCAGGTTAGTGGGACTTCTTCTGAGTTCTGAGTTGAGTTGGGTCCCGTCAAACTAGTACGTTCTGAGTTGAGTTGGCTGTTAATGTCGTTTTGGTCAAACTTTCTGATAGATAAGGCTTTTTTGATTTTTATTATTTTGGTTTTAATTTTGTAGAAACTTTTCACATTTAAGATCTCTTTGGTTGATTTTTTATTAAGATAAGGCTTCTTTTTTTTGTGTTTTAGTTTTTTTTTTCCTTGGAATAATTTTGAACAAAGTCAAGTTTAAGTTTAAGTTTATGAAGAAAGAAAATGTCTTAGTCTTTTGTATATATTGATTTTTAATTAGTCTCACTGTTAGTCTTTTGTGTATGAAGAAAGAAAATGTCTTAGTCTTTTGTATATATTGATTTTTAATTAGTCTCACTGTTAGTCTTTTGTGTATGAAGAAAGAAAATGTCTCACTGTCTTAGTCTTTTGTGTATGAAGAAAGAAAATGTCTCACTATTAAGGACATTTCAATTAGTACTTCCTCTTTTGTGTATGTTGATTTTATTTTATTAAGTTCTGGAATTAAGAACATTTTAAGCATTATACTGGATCAATTTTATTCAGATATTATAGAATTTCACTTTCTTAGTCTGTAAGTTATATCCGATATGCACAAATTTTGATGTTCTATTTGTTATAGACTTATAGGAGTTCCGACCTTAATTCTATTTTTATTCGATTTTCTATAGATGGCAGAAGTTGAAAGTAGAGTAAGTGAGGTGGGTTCTTCTAAAAGCGAACCTACTTCTTCACCTGCAAATTTAGTTGAAATTAGTCAAGGCCCCAAAAAAAGAAAATCAGTACAATGTAGATCAACTGCTTGGGATCATTTTGAAAAGTTTAAAGATGATAATGGAGGTGATAAAGCAAAGTGTAAACATTGTGATCGTGATTATAAGGCTGATTCATGGTTGAATGGAACAACATCATTGAATACTCATTTAAAGAAGTGTGCAAAATACCACGAAAAGTTGATAATACTCAAACACAATTGTGTTTACAAAATGATGGGCAAATTAATGGTGGGGTACTTTGAAAATTTGAACAAGAACTAGTTAGGAGGGCTTTAGTTGAGATGGTAATTACGGAGTAATTACCTTTTAGCTTTGTTGTAAAGAAAGGCTTTAAGAAGTTTATGAGCATAGCCCAACCTCTATTTAATGTTCCTTCTCGTAGGACAATTACAAGGGATTGTTTTCAAGTTTACAATGAAGAAAGGCTTAAACTAATAAAAAATTTCAGAGAAGTAAAACCAAAAATTTGCCTTACCACGGACACATGGACTTCGTTACAAAGAATTAACTATATGTGTTTGACGGGTCATTTTATTGATAGAGATTGGGTGTTGCATAAAAGAATACTAAATTTTTGCCCTATCTCTAGTCATAAGGGTGACAAAATGGCAAAAGTTATCGGTAATTTTTTGCTTGAATACAAATTGGATAAGGTATTCACTGTTACTGTTGATAATGCTTCTTCGAATGATGTCACGGTCAAAGAATTGTCTAACAACTAGATATGTGGAAAACTAATTCGATGAGTGGTAAGCATCTTCATGTGAGATGCATGGCTCACATACTTAATCTAATTATGCAAGATGGTTTGAAGGAAATTGATGTTTCTGTAAAATGTGTTAGACAAGTTGTGAGGTATGTGAGATCATCTCAGCAAAGGACCTTAAAGTTTAGGGAATGTTGTGCACATCAAGAGGTAGAATGTAGCAAAACATTATGTTTGGATGTTCCTACAAGGTGTAATTCCACCTACTTGATGTTGGCAACAGCGCAAAATTTTGAGAAGGCCTTTGACAAGCTTCATCTTTTTGATGATGGATTTTCTACTCATCTTTGTACGCATGCTTTTGAAGATGGGAATGTTGCGGGTCCATTTGTATGTGATGATTGGGTGAATGTGAGAAACGTGATAAAGTTTCTTGAAATATTTCACGAGCTCACCGAAAAAGTTTCAGGTTCACGTTATGTCACTTCTAATTGTCATTTTGAGGATATATGTGAGCTTGATAGTCATTTGAAAGCTTGTTTAGCTAGTGATGATACTAATTTGAGTAAGATGGAAGGGAAGATGAAAGAAAAGTTTAAAAAATATTGGGGTGAACCGGAAAAGATGAATAAAATGATATTCATTGCTTCTGTATTAGATCCTCATAACAAATTAGAGTATGTTGGTTTTGCACTTGAGGAAATATTTGGGGAGGGACCAGGGAAGAAATTAACTGCCGAAGTGGATGCTTATTTGAATTCTTTGTTTGGAGAGTATCAAAAAAAAATATTCCAAAGGATGTTATCTTCAATCATCTCCATCTAAATCTACTTTATCTGATGACACATCTGAGCCATCTAGTGGGAATGTGAGAACAAAATCTGTGAGAACAAAGCAATTGTTAAAAAGGCAAAAGGAAGACTCCGGAAGTGTAGGTGCTAAATCTGAGTTAGAAAGATATATTAGTGAAGGACCAGAGCCATTGTCTGATGATTCTGATGACTTTAAAATCTTAGATTGGTGGAAAATTAATGCGCCTCGATTTCCTATTCTATCTGAGCTAGCTCGTGATGTATTAGCCATTCCAATTTCAAGTGTTGCATCGGAATGTGCATTTAGTAACGGTGGCCGCATTCTTGATTCATTTAGGAGTTCATTGACTCCTCGGTTGGTGCAAAGTCTTGTTTGTGTTCAAGATTGGTTTAGATGTGAGGGTACTCCTATTAATGTTGTAGAAGATTTGGAGTTTCTTGAGCAAATTGAACTTGGTAAGATTTTGCGTTATATGAGTGTTTTAGTGAAAATTAGTTTACTTTGTAAGTTTAAATGACACGCTTTATCAAATTATATTTAGATATGACAACGAGCAGAAGAGAAACTTGCATTGTTGAAAGAGATACTAGCATTGTTGATGCATAGTTTGAACAAGTGGTAAGTTTAAAGATTTACTTGTTTTATGATATTCTTTTATTATTTATAATTAAAAATATTTTACTAACTTGTGATATTTTCTTTTTTTTGTAGGTTCAACTATGCCTCGTGGTCCTAAAGCTAGATCGCCTAATTGGGAATATTTTGAGCTAGTTGAAGTAAATGAAGAAGCCCGCAAAGCAAAGTGTCTTTATTGTGGTCGAGTTTATAATTGTCATCCAAAGTATTATGGCACTTATGGCTTAGTGAAGCATATTAAGAAGTGTCTCATGCCTCATCCAGTGATTCGTATTTAAGATTTTAAGTATCATTTTCTAGACTTACTTTGTGGCTTGTGGCTTGTGGCTTGTGACTAGTTTGCCACTGTTTTGTTGTTTGGTCATTGTCACGACCCAAAACTAACCCTTGTCGTGATGGCGCCTATCGTGGAACTAGGCAAGCAGACTCATTTCCAAAACAAAATGATATTTTCATTTCAAAGATAATTTCAAGGTTATTTAACATAAAACCTCCATTTAAAGAGTTCAAATCAAAGAAAAACGGAAGTGCGGAAAAGAAAAGCCCGACATCGGGGTGTCACTAGTCATGAGCATCTACTATAATCTGTCTAACAATATCAAGGCTAACTCAGCCTGAAAAATAGCTAAATACTACTAGAGGAAGATTAGAGGGAGAAGAGCAGGGGCTGCGATCGCCAAACAGCTGCCATGCTATCTCCAAGAAAATCTGTAACCAGAATACTCAATAACCACTACCGTGGCCAGCTACACCTAGATCTGCACACAAGGTGCAAGGAGTAACGTGAATACACCAACTTAGTAAGTAACAACAATAAATAAAGACTGAGTAGTAGTGACGAGCAATAAAGCATATACCGTTTATATCAGGAAATCTCAGTAAAATACCACAAGCTTTAAAAAATCAGGATTTGAATCAAATATCTCATTTAAACCCAGTTCCAGTAAAAATTATTTAAAGACATTTTTCCAACAGTTTTTCAAACAAAGGCTCAATGCAAAGGTGAGCAAAATGATGAAATCATAAACAGCCCCTCGGCAAACCTCACAGTCAACTCTTGCCACTCGGGCATACCTCACAATCACTCTTGCCTCTCGGGCATACCTCATAATCACTCTTGCCTCCCAGTCACTCAGCACTCGTCACTCGGCACTCGCACTCAGTAGGTACCTGCGCTCACTGGGGGTGTGTACAGACTCCGAAGGGGCTCCTTCAGCCCAAGCGCTATAATCTGCACTGACAACTCACGTGAGATAATAATAAAGTATGTTACAGGCGGGCAGCCTCGATCCACACTCATCCTCATAAATCAGGCCCTCGGGCATTTCAGTAAAGCAGGGCATTCGGCCCAAAATATTTATACGCATCAAAATAGAGTCATAAAACTGAGTTATGCGGTAAATAATTATAAACATGACTGAGTATATATTTTCAGTCGAAAACAGTGAGAGGATGATAAGAAACAACCCCTAAGGGTCCAAACAGCATTGGCGCAAGGCCCAGACATGGCATTCAGCCTAATTTACAGAAATTCTTTCTAAAACATATAAGTATCAAATGGTTTCAACAAAGTATGCAACTTTACAGTTGCTACAGGACGAACCAAGTCACAAATCCCCAACAATGCACGCCCACACGCCCGTCACCTAGAATGTGCGTCACTTCAAAATAATAGAATGATACGCAATCCGGGGTTTCATACCCTCAGGACTAGATTTACAATCGTTACTTACCTCAAACCGTTCAAATCTCTATCCCGCAATGATCTTGCCTCTGGACTCAGCCTCCAAATACTCCGAATCTATTCACAATCAGTACAATACCATCAATACGCGCTAATGGAATGAATTCCACAAGCAAAACTATAAAATTAGACCAAAACCCGAAATTGGCTCAAATATCGCCTTTGGGGCCCACGTCTCGGAACCTGACAAAAGTTACAAAATCCAAAAGCTCATTCAATCACTAGTCTACCCATTCCAATTTTACCAAAATCCGACCTCAACTCGACCCTCAAATCTACAAATCTTATTTCCAAATTTTCCAAGTTCCAATCTCCGATTTACACCTCAAAATCATGTAATCTAGTCAGATTATTGGATGATACTTCAATATTATGGAGTAGAAATGATCACAAGGGACTTACCTCAAGTTTTCCTTGAAAATATATCAAAAATCGCCTCTCCTCAAGCTCCAATTTGTCAAAAATGGCAAATGGGACGAAGTCCCTATTTTTATAATTCTGCCCAGACATCCTCGGTTCAGCCTCGGTCTTGGCCTTCGATCTTGGCCTTCGATGGAGGTCCTCGATCCTGGTCCTCAATCCTAGCCCTCGATCCTGGTTCTAGATCCTAGGCCTTCGATCCTGGTTCTCGATCCTAGGCCTTCGATCATGTCTTCGACCCGGCCTTCGACC